GTTATTAATTAACCGTCATTAAGGGCTATTAATCATTATTAACGGTAACCTTAACCGCATGGGGGCATCAGCAATATTCAAACACTATTTTCATTTATTTCCCTCCAAAATCCTTCGGCCAATCAAACCCGACCCGTTTTCCTCACGAATCGGGTCTGGGGGGCAAGTTGTTTGGGGTCAAAAATATCAACCATTGGGCTCAGCCCATAAATGAAAATAGCCAAAGCCCAATTAAGAAGGTTCAACCCTCTTCATTCTTAGCCAAGTCAACAGTGGCAGGCCCAGTCAAATGGCAGCCCATTTGACTGGTCAAGCCCAAGTCATACAATAGACAAAGGTATAAAAACCTTCATTTGCACACAATTACATTCATTCACAATAAGCCTCAAGCACTAAGTATCTTGCATAGCTTTCTCTCTCTGACGAGATACACTATATTGACTTCGGCATCGGAGGGGCCTTCCTCGGCACAACCCCCGAGGCCAGTTTACGTGTTTTGTGCTGTGCAGGAAACCCTCGGCTCCGGCATTACTCGGACCGAGACTCGTCTTCTCTACCATTTCTGGGACTGCCGAAGGCCCCATTGTTTTCGTACCGAAACAAATACTATATGATTCTTCCTTTTATTTCATAATGTCATCACTTTAAATCATTATTAGCACCATCAAATACCACCTTTGCCTCCCCCTCTTTCACCCTCGAAACTTCGAAGCTCGTCACTTTGCCACCTTGATGCAGCCCCTTGGATCACTATCACCACAAGCCTTACTAATTACAACAACTTTCTTAGCAAAATCCCAAGTATGATTCAAAATTAATACTTAAGAAGCTCAATCTCATTCTCTGAGGCATTTCGTCGAACATGTAATAGGCAAAGCAAAAACCCTAAATCACCTCACCAAAAATAAGAAAACTTCTCAAAATTGGAGAAATTTCATGGAATTCCATAGTTATTCACAGATTTTCTGTAAGAATTCTGGCGAATAATCCAACCATGGTAACGTTGTACCCTCATCTTTGCAGTTTCTTCAGCTCTCTTTCTCTCTCCTAAAATTGCTGATTTTGATGATAAATTCTCTGAATCGCTATTCGTCGTTAACAAATTACTAGGTGACGTTAACATTTTTAATTGAAATTACATTTTTGCCCTTGTGGGTATTTTACCTATTTAAAGGTCCACCATGGGTAAATTACTTACCGACAACATAAAAACACTACCGAGCCCACCACTTGTGTTAAAAAAATTCCCGAGCATTAAAAAATCCCGGTTCCACCATTGTACGACGATCCCGAGGAATTTAAAAATCCCGGGGCATAAAAGAAAAGTGTACGGAGTGGTGTTTTACGATGGACGACGACAACGTTCACACGCCGGAGGATTCGACGGAAGAATCTGTAAGTATTTCGGAAATTTTTTTTTTATGTAAATGGACATCCGCCCGTTATTTCCGGAAACATGGGGGGATCCGCCTGAAATTTCCGGATATCCCCCATGACATCCGAAAATTTCATCCGGATGGGTACATCCGCCTGAAATTTCCGGATGTATGTAGGGACATCCGGAAATTTTGGGCGGATCTCCCCCAGAATTCCGGAAAAAATAGGCGGATGTCCCTTTTTTTTTCTTACGTAATTGTTATTGTTATTATTATTATTATTACTATTGTAAATTTTTGTAAATTTTTATTATTACTATTATTATTATTACTATTGTTATTGTTATTATTACTATTGTTATTATTATTATTACTATTGTTATTATTATTATTATTATTACTATTATTATTATTACTATTGTTATTATTATTATTATTACTTTTGTAAAGTTTTGTTATGATTATGATTATTATTAATATTATTATTACTATTGTTGTTATTATTATTATATTAGTTATTATATGTTAATGTTACGTAGTTATTGTTGTTATTATTATTAGTATTATTATTGTTATTGTTATTATTATTATCATTAGTATTATCATTAGTATTATTATTATTGTTATTATTATTATTATTATTATTATTATTACTAATATTAATACTATTAATACTATTAATATTATTATTGTTATTATTGTTATTTTTATTGTTATTATGATTATTTGTATTATTATTGTTATTATTATTGTTAAATTTAAAATACTAATCCTTGCGTGTTTTATTTGTTTGTGTTGTTATTTTGATAGGATTCGGAGGTTGAAAACGACGGTGATGTTGTGAATTACAGTGCACATTTTGTGACAGACACGGTTTTTCTAACGTTTGACGATGCATTTACATGGGCGGATGCTGTTGTAATAAATCTGGGATTTATTTTGGTGAAATCGTCTTTCAACAAACAGAGGGATGGTCGACCAGTTCGATATTTAAGATGTGACCGGGGACGCAGGAGTAAGCCGAGAGATCTTGAGAACGCAATTCGGAAGGACACCAAAACCAAGGGCATTGGTTGTCCTTTCTACATCAAGATATGTTACGAGTTCGTCACCAATACTTGGTTTATCCGGGCGAAAGATGATGTAACTGGGACCCACAACCATCCGATGATTGCGTATCCAGAGGGTCATCGTAAAATTAGTGGGTTGAGCCCGAATGCGAAGCAGGTTGTGCGTGACATGACGAACAGAAAAAACAATGGAAAAACAGGAAAAAAAAAAAAAATTCTGGAAACCGGACTTCCGCCCAGAATTTCCGGAAGTCCAGGGACTTCCAGAAATTCCAGGCGGAAACCCCACTTCCGCCTGGAATTTCCGGAAGTTCCCTGGACTTCCGGAATTTCTGGGCGGAAGTCCAGTTTCCAGAAAAAAAAAAATTTTCAAAATTCAAAAATTTAAAACAAAAACGAAAAACTCACCGGCTCGCCGCCGCTAACGCCGCCACCACGACCACCAAACATCAGCCTAATTCTCCGTCGGTCTACCATCGTCAGATTCAACTATTTTGCTTTTTTTTAAAAAAAAAAAATTTCTGATTTTTTTTTTCCAAAATTTCTGAATTTTTGGTTTTTTTAGAGAGAGAAAGTGTCAAAGAGTGTTTTTGTGAGATGGGTAATGTCTCGTAAAACCCTAACTTACTTTATCGAGTATTTATATACGGAGGGCAATTTAGGAAATTCATGTAAATAATGTCAACGTCACCTAGTAAAATGTCAACGACGTTTAACAACCCCCTAAATTCTTCATAAAAATTGGAAAGATCGCCATTTTTAATGAAGAATAAATTTTTTTTTAAACATAATGAAGAATAAATCTGTAGGATAAACATAAGATTTGGGGTTATTTGATTAGTAAGATTCAATCCGCCATTGCCGAAAAATGGCGCGAGCTGTCATTGTTGGAGAAAATAATTTAGGGTTTTAATTTTGTTTGTGATTTTGGGCCTCAGCCATTACGGTAATGTCGTGGATACTGGATATATAGTCCATGATGACCTCTTAACTTAACCTCTATTTTGGATGGATTAGATTTATGGAGTACTCCTTTTATCTCGGAAATTCTTTTAATGATAAAGTTAAAATACAAGAGTTTGATACCTAAATCTAGTTCATTTATGTATGGAGTATTTTTCCCTAAAAAAAAATGTACAGAGTATTTATTTTTATGAGTAGGTAAGATGGGACCAAATAAAGTCAACTTCTCACAAGTCATCTTGATCCAAGTTAGCGGATTAGTCGTTTTAAGAGTGGAGGGTGGGGTAAGGGGTCCCTTCTCCTATATGTCCTTAAGTGGGATTTGAACTACAACTTTGGGGTTGGAAAGCATTCCCTTTGCACAGGGCCAAGCTCGTCTTGGGCGTAAATGAAATTTGATTTGTCCATTGTCAAAAGAAGAGAGCTTAGCTTGAATGATGGTACTCACATCAGACCCGTTAGAGGATGAAAGAAAAGAACTTGAATCACGGCTCTCCGATACATATGAGCCGGTTGTCAATTAGCTTAATTAATAAGGTCCATGATGGACAAACCCAACACCTAATAAATTTTTTACCCAAAAAGAAAAAGGTTTGTACTCCACATATTATTTTGCCACATTGTTTTTAATACAAAATGGTAAATTCTACTTTAAATGTTTAATGTTTAGTTACTCAAATATGTCTACTTATTACGTCGCTTTTAACAATTAGCCTATAACATTACGCAATTTGTCATTACACTTCCTAATCCGTATGAAGTTTAATCTACTAGTTATGTTTTAATTTAAGATGACAACTAAAAATTCACAAAATTGGGAACTTAATTGTTTGGCATACTACTACGGTTCTAGATTTTTCTTTATATTTTAAAATAAATTAATAAACAAACAAACAAAAATATTGCACACAGAAATTCGATCACCTAAATTTTGTATTTTATGTGAATACGATTATACGAGTTACTTGTGGCCTCTTTGCAAAACAGCAAGGATAGAAAGTGTCCAAACCACGGGCCATTTTTGGTTTTTTTAATTGACGGGTTTATTTAATTTTTTTTTTTTAAAAATGGCTAGCTAATTTGGCCCTATCATCATGCAATACTCCAACTCCATCTCCATATAGTCTCAAAAGAAAGAGATTTTTTTCAAAATGAATTAATTAATATAACTAGTTTTTGAACCCGATCAATGTTAGGGCTAAAATCTCATGTGAGAACTCGATAACAAACATTGAAAGTATTAAACATGAAAGATGGAGACCTCGCTATTAAGTCTTTGATGTTTATATATATGTTAATGAAATATACAACCCTTGCATATAAATATTATATATTTATTACATAAAATTAGTCCTACTTTATTTGGAGTAGACTATGTTCATTATGACCTTTTTGCATGATCAAATTCTCTCGACTTTTGAATGATACTAAATAATGTCTTATATACTTACTAATAATATAAATTAACAACTATTGCTTTTTTTTAAAAAAAAAAAAAACAAAATTAACAACTATTGCCTTATACTCATTACAACTTCACTAAAATGAGCCCAGGCCAGAAATTAATCAATAATATATACAGGTATATATTTTTTTTAAAAAATAAATCAATAATATAATCTTTTCAAGTTTCAACATTAAACTTAAATTACAAGTGGTTTACAATTGCCAATACGATGAATCTATTCAGAAGACCAACTAGTGGACTTAGATACGAAGTATTAATCATCATTCAACATACAAAAGACCGGTTACCATATAATAAGCATATTAAATTAGTAATAAAAAAAATAATATAGTATTTATGTTGACTAATTTGCTAATTTAATAATCCACTAAGTAATTAGCTGCTACCTCTTCAAATCAGCTAATCTAGTAATTTAATGATGTGCTAATTAAAAGTTAACAAATGATAATGCAACAATTAAACGTACTAATTCTTCATCATCATTCATGAATCTTTTTGCTTTTAACATTAATAAACAACTCTTCCATGAAAGCCTTCAAGTTCTTATCAGACGATCCACCCTCGTTGACCGCTTCGACCGCCAATTCTCTCCATTTCTTAGCATTCTCCTTAATCACTTGACTATCCATAACCTCTTCCAAACACCTCTTAATCTCTTCACTCTTAACTAATACACCGCCTTCTTCTTCTTCACTCACGTTAACCCTTACTCCAGTCTTCCATAAATCCTCCACCAATTTAGCATTCGTTGTTTGATCCGTCCATTGTGGAAACCCGACCATGGGGACGCCTGATGCTAGGCTCTCTAAGGTCGAGTTCCACCCACAATGTGTCACAAAGCACCCCACTGAGGGGTGGGATAGCACCTCCACTTGGGAGCACCATGGGACTATTAACCCTTGTTGTTTAAGCACCTCCATGCAACTCAACTCGTCTTCATCTTTATTATCTTCTTCATTTATTTCATGACTCGCCTTCTCCCTAATGACCCACAAGAACGGCCTGTGGGTCTGTATTAGGGCTCTGGCTAGCTCCTCCATCTGTGGCTTGGATAGCACTGAGATGCTTCCAAACGACACGTAGACCACCTTAGCATTTTTTCCTTGCGAGTTTAGCCATTTCATGTAATCCGCATCCTTAGATTGTTGGAAGAGGTCCCCTTCAAAGGATTTGTTGGAGGGGTCCTTTCCATTCAAGAAGGCGGAGGGAAGGATAGGGCCGATAGGAATTAAGTTGAACCTCTCAATAGCTTTTAAAGCATGAACTTCTAAAGCTTCAAAGGTATTAACAAGGATTATTGGTTTCTCCTCAATCTCTAATTGTTGTATTTGGTCTTGGAATGTGGGGAGGACAAAAGTGTAAAGGGAAGGGTTGGAAGGAAGAAAAAATGAAGGGAGGTCACGTGCTTTGAGCTTCAATGGCATGTTTGGTAATTCTAACGACCATGAAGGGTCTTTCTCACATTCATTTATAACCTCGCGATACCCATTAAAATAATAGTAGTAAATATTTAAAACTGTGGCAGGTTGAATCCAAAGGAGCGCGGATGGCACGTGAAACTTACGTGCTACCTCGGCGGCCCAAGGTAGGAGGAGTGTGTACACCAAGCATGTAATTGGTTTACCCTCGACGACACTCTTCTCAAAGAGTGCCGATAATGTCTCAACCCCGCGTTGGCGGAATGTTGACATATAGTTGGTGGCATCTCCGTCACTGGGCTTATAGCCATCATCATACCCGTCAGAAAAAGTAGTCAAGGTCATACCCTCAGGGACCGTAGCCTTTTTAAGGCATTTGTGCGCAGAGGCAGCGGTGGCAAAGGTGACATCAGCCCCGGCCGTTAAGAATCGCTTGGCGAACTGGAGGGCTGGGTTGATGTGGCCTTGCGCCGGGAAGGTGACTAGGAGGAAGTGAGGCCTTTGTTGCTCCATAATAAGCGGTACGCGGTGTACAAATTTTGGTGTGGCAAGTAAAGTTGGATGGTATAAAAATAATGAGGTTTATGAATTTCTTGTGGTGCTCTAATAATCTTGGAGATTGGGAAATTGTTTGTAGTGTAAGTGAATTTGTTACTTTGTTGGCATGTGATGTAGATAGTTATAGTATGTGGTATATCCGTATATATATATAGTGATTAGGCACATGCATGGACTAGTGACGTTTGTGGTGACGAAATATCAATAGGGTTGGCTTTAAAATATATGATTGAATTGCCAAATTATCAGAATTAAGTAATAGTAAAATGATTGATATGTTTAGGGTTGGCAAATTGGATTTACTTTGCAATTTGCTACTTGCTAGTCGCCTGAATATGTGATTATGATTATATGTATAAAATATTCTTTGACGAGTGGCTGACAGCAAGTAATATATACAGCATAAAATTGATTGGAAATATTGTTATTATTATTATTATTATTATTATTTGGATATTTTCTCTTGTTACATTAGAGTATTAGATCCGGTAGCTAGCTTTTAAAATCATTACTTCCTCTAGTTATTGATTTTTTGTTTTATTTTTTACAAGAAGAATAGGAATTTCATTAATAAAATATAGCCACATGGCACTTACATGTAATTTCTAATAAATTAATAATTCCAACACAAGTACATAACACTTTAAAACTAAATACATAGTAGATTTGATCAACAATTTGCCTTAATAAAAAACTTCATCTGAAACAATACAATCTATGAGTTCGCATTGATTCGGCTTGAAATCCACTGATACGTAGCCGTTTGAGTGAAAATACTCATGTGGTCCTCCGGATTCTTGTAGAGATTATGAAACCCTAAATCTTCAATTCTCGCCATACAAACATAAAAAGAAAATAAATTCAAGAGAAAAATCATCATTTGATTAAGGATGAGATCTATTTATTGAAAGCAATTAAAAGGTTTTTTGGCCTTACCACCGATAAGAACACCGGTGAAAGCCCCCATAAAGATTCACAACTGAGACCAAGAGGAAAATAGATGGTAGAGATAGAGAGAAAATGGAGAAGAGTGAAGGAAAACCTTCAAAAAAAAATTAAAAAAACTTAGCAATAGAGGCTAGAAAAACTCTTCCAAGGGAGAATTCCTAGAGGGAACCAAAAAAACCCTCCGAAGGAGAAAATCTAGAGGGAACAAAAAAATTCCTCTTGATACTTATACTATTCAAACTTTTACATTGTTTGTATATTTTTATTTGATCATGAGTTGTGAATTGAACTCGTGATGATTTTTACTCCTTAATAAGGAAATAATAATGAATAATAATAAAATATTAACCATATTAGCACAATTAGTTATTGAGTACCATGCACTATTGTAATAATTAACATTATTGACATTAATTATTAACATAATTATGGTAATTATAGTGTAATTAATTTTACTGTTATTAGTTATTGCCATAACTAGCTATTAACATTATTACCATTATTAATAATTACAATAATTAGTTACTTTCTCCTTAATAATTATTAATTACATAATATATATTTAATTACACATATTAAATATATATTACTACTTTATCGAGTGCTTTTTCCGTGTGGCTGACCACACCGTGTGGCCAAGGTTACTTACTTAGGGGTTACTCAGCCAGTCAAGGGTTACTTATTCTAGGGTAACTCAATCGGTTAGCGGGTTTTATGTGTGAGAGTAACCCCTGATCGATCAGACCGACCGAGTAACCCCTAAATAAGTAACCCATGATCGATCGAGTAACACATGAATAAGTAACCCAGACCACATGGTGTGGCCAGCCACATATAAAAATTTGTGCTATTTTATAGTCATTAATTGTTGATTATTAATAATTCACAAACCTTTATATGTGGTTGGCCACACAATGTGACCAACCACCATGGTGTTACTTAATTAGTTAATAATATAGGGCCATGGGGTAACACTATAAGTAGAATAGGGTTTACTCTATTATTGTAGGGGTTACTCTATCAGTAGAAGTTACTTTGTCAGTATAATAGCAACTACTCTATTGGTAATTTGGTATTGTAGGAGTTACTTTGTCAGTATAATAGGGGTTACTCCATTTTATTTTTTATTTTGCAAGCGATCACACGATGTGACCAGCCACATAAGAAATAATATGTTAATAATTAGTTATAAATTGTTAACTATTAATCATTATATATATTAATTACTAATTATATTAAATCTATTAACTATTACTAAAACAAAATATTGCTAGCATTATCAACCCTCAAACTGTCTTACGTGTCATTCTCACATTAAAAATTTCTTTATATATATATATATATATATATATATATATATATATATATATATATATTTCAATCAACCAAGTTTCTCTCCTAAATTATAGCTTCACATGCCTAATTTGTTTGATGTTTGATCGTGGTTTCAATCTTTTTTAGTTTTATTAATGAAACCATTGTTCTTCTTGTCTAATAAAAAATAATAATAATTAAAAAAACAAAAGATCAATCTCTTGGTTAAAAAGTTGGCTTATTAGCTTTCTAAAAAGTCATTTACCAAACACTTTTTTTGGTTGTTTGACTAACTTTAAAAAAATATAAATAAATAAATAAATGAAAAAGCTTGATAAAAGCCATTTACCAATCAACCCCATAATACTCGCTCCGTCCCTAAATATAGTTCTCATTTCCATATTTGGTGGTTCTAATTTAAATACAATTCTTATTAACTTTTTTACCATTTAATGTTCCTTGAAAATCACCTATTTCCCCTCAATTTTTTTTTGTCTTTATTAGGTGAAGTGGCAAAGAACCCTCTAATTTTTCTTATTTCTTGTGCATCATTACTCCACTTGTTTACTTTAATATTTTTTCTCATTGAAAAAGAGGAAGAATGAGCTGATTTGATTAAAAATATAGAAAATAGGCATACAAGTAGTGATATAGGCCTTATTCGGGCCATTTTGGTTGAAAATGCGTCCAAAAACCATTCAAATGCTCTTTTAATGTGATTTCAAGGCTTAGCTGTCTCTAACTAGGTAATAATGTCATGTTAAGAGGAAGAATGAGTTGATTTGATTAAAAATATAGAACATAGGCATACAAGTAGTGATATAGGCCTTATTCGGGCATTTTGAATGAAATTGCGTCCAAAAACCAGTCAAATGCTCTTTTAATGTGATTTCAAGGCTTAGCTGCCTCTAACTAGGTAAGAATGTCATGTTAAGAGGAAGAATGAGCTGATTTGATTAAAAATATAGAAAATAGGCATACAAGTAGTGATATAGGCCTTATTCGGGCCATTTTGGTTGAAAATGCGTCTAAAAACCATTCAAATGCGTCCAAAAACCATTCAAATGCTCTGTTAATGTGATTTCAAGGCTTAGCTGCCTCTAACTAGGTAATAATGTCATGTTAAGAGGAAGAATGAGCTGATTTGATTAAAAATATAGAAAATAGGCATACAAGTAGTGATATAGGCCTTATTCGGGCCATTTTGGTTGAAATTGCGTCCAAAAACCATTCAAATGCTCTTTTAATGTGATTTCAAGGCTTAGCTGTCTCTAAATAGGTAATAATGACATGTTAAGAGGAAGAATGAGCTAATTTGATTAAAAATATAGAAGATAGGCATACAAGTAGTGATATAGGCCTTATTCGGGCCATTTTGGTTGAAATTGCGTCTTAAAACACTTTACTTGTTCTTTTAATGTGATTTTAAGCCTTAGCTGCCTCTAAGTAGGTAATATTGACATTTTATGAGGAAGAATGAGTTGATTTGGCAATAAATGTAGAAAATAGGTGAAGTAGTAGTCATATAGGCCTATGTATTAAATTTTTGTCTAACTTAAATTGTAAATGTATTTTTACATACATAACCTAAATAATTAATTCTAGCTAACATCATTTTTGTTTAACCAAGTTTTGCAAGGTACAGAAAGGAGGTCCATTGACGAGCAAAGAGCTGAATGAAGTTCGAAACATGTTAGCGTCTTTCATCACATATAATTTAATTTGAACTTGTTAACTTATACATTAATTATTAGTATAGTTTGTAAATATAACACCTTTAAATTAATGAGTTGTAAAAGCTATATGACATTTCATTGTATCACATTTTACGGTTATTAATTAATATTTATGTATTGTTATTATTATATTATTAGTATTTTTAATATTAATAATAATAATACGGGTAATAATTATTATTATTATTACTGTTATTATAATATATTTTAATGGCAGAATTAATACAGGATGTGCAGGTTTTTAATTATTTTAAATTATATAAAAAAAAACCAGGTTTTAGCACCGGTTTTTAAAATGAACCGGTGCCAAAAATATGACATTTCGCAGCGATTTAAGGAAGAACCGGTGGGAAATCATGAAAATTATATTATATAAGTCCACTTTTCCCACTGGTTTTCTATTGAACCAGTGGCAAAAGTACCCCATATAATAGTATAATTTTGATGTTTTGCCACCGGTTCTCCCCTAAACCGGTGCGAAAAGGTATTTTTGCCACCGGTTTTAAACCGGTGGGAAATCATTGAGGATTTGGCACCCCCCCAAATCAAAACCGGTTCAAAACCGGTGGGAAATGCCTAGTTTGAACCGGTGGGGATTGGGGTTTTTCGCCTAGTGTATGTTCATGTTCATTTTCAAGGCTTGGAGTTGAGGCAAGTTAGAATCTTTTACATTAGTGTTTTCTTTGTATTTTCTGAAATACATTGTTAATTTGGTGTTTGGTTTTGTAATACTTTGATCAGTATTTGTTGTTGTATAATTTGATTGTTATTATACACGATTTAGGTTTTGTTCCCACAAACTAAATTAATTCTTTGTTTTGAATTGCTGTAAAACCTAACAAGCTAAAGAGGTTTATTCATCTTTAGCAAGCATGTCCAGTGTGAAAGAATTGACCACAAATTTTGTTAAACTGAAAAAGTTTGACGGTGTGGAGTTTCGGAGATGGAAGAAGAAGATGTATTTTCTTCTTACATCTTTGAATGTTGCCTATGTGATAAGTACTCCAAGGCCGGATGAACATGAAAATGAAACCTTGGAATCCGTTCGGGAGAGATCTAAGTGAGACAACGACGATTTCATATGTCGTGGTCACATTTTGA